AATCACAAAGCAGGAGTCTTTCATGGACTAGGGTTTTCCCTGCCCTGAATTTACAGCAAGAATTTGAACAAATTTAAAATTAATGAAGCATGAATATTCTCCATGTTTTAATGTAAAAAGCTGCTTTCACGGATGATGTTAAAATCTTGATTGTTTTTTTCTAAATATAGTTCCCCCCTCAGCTGCTTAGATTTTGTTTGGGAAGTAAATTTATGTACAAATTCTGAGGTAAATCTTGAGTTTCAACAAAATTGAGTTATGAGGCAAGTCTGGAAAAACATTTTTTGAAAGTATTCAAGCATGAAGCCACAGAGAAGATGAGGTCTTGGCCACAGGAATATAAGAGTCTGATCATTTATCACATTTGATTGTTATTTAACCACATAAACCAAAAGGCTGAAATCTGCCCCCTCGGAGAGAGCAGACCAAAGTATGCACTGAACTTCCCTGGCAAAATGCTGTCCCCTTATTGATGAGAAAATAAATCAAAGTATGTACAAATGTACTAAACTTCGCTGTCAGAATTCTGCCCCCTTAATGATGAGAGGGTAGATCAAAGTATGTACTAAACTTCCCTGTCAGACTTGTGCCCCCCTTACTGACAGAATAGTTCAACGTTCCATAATCACTACACTTTGTTATCACAATTCTGCCCCCTCTTGAGAGAGTGGATCAAAGTATGCCCTAAACTTCACTTTCAGAGTTTTGTCTCCTTACTGAGAGGTGCCTAACAACATGGCTTTGACAAAAGTGGTAATTGTTGGTTCTATTGGAGTTCCACTCTAGACCAAAGTGAAAAACCATTCAAAAAGAAACAAACTGCATTCTAAACAGTGGAGAACCACTTTGAAAAGATTTGTTCCCTTACACTTTTAGGAGTGCTTTTACATTTTTCTTTAGGTTTAAATTTTGATATACTAGTAGTTAAATTTTTGAGATGAATTTCTAATTTTAAACGAAATTGCCCTTCAAAGCTACAGTGTATGCCTGAAACCTCCAAAATAATACTCTGCCCTCTGTGCAGTTCACATTTGAAGTACAGACAAGAATTTCTCACTGGCCATTTTTACATTTAATTGTGATAATTTGGGAGGTCCCCTCTGCATGCTGTAGCTTTCATAATGCCACCTTCCTATGCATCTCTGAATGGTTATAATGCTGACTAAAAAAGGGCCTTGTTTGATTGATTTGTAAAATAAGGTAATGATGGTCTTACCATTTAAGTACACAATAGCTGTCTTTTGAGCCAGTAGAGAGATTCCCAGTCAAACAGAGAATGCTGTCTATGGTCTGTACACTTTTTTTCAATCTCTGTTTGTAGGAGGATCTTAATCAAGGGTTACCCTCCTGTGCAAACACATCTAAAGTATGCTAAGCTGTTTTTTCCTGGTGCCAGGTGAGTTACAGGGCCCTACATGGCAATTGCTTGGCCAGTCAAAGTGTTAAAACAAGGACATGAAATACATACATGTAGTTCATTGAATGGACTTGGTAATCGTTCATCGCTATCCTTTTGATGTCCTCCTTCCAGTGAAAGTGACAGCACAAGTGTAAGTGGGTCATTCCATAGAGTTGGGGCACTGTGGGTCATAAACACATTCCCACATTCCAAATGTGCAGAGTATTCTCTTGTGATGAATATTAAACTTGATAAATGTTTTATTTTAGAGATCTGTTGAAGCTCTATCAATGTTTACCATACATGGCTAAGAAGGTGTGTTCCTTTTTATAAAAAAATTTAAAAAATGTAGGTAGTATAAGTGTGACACAGAAAGTGTTGTTTTTGTTGTTTAAATAAAAAGAAAAACTATCATTTTCTTACTCTGAAAGAATTTGTATGTGCACATCATACTGTGAACTAAAAACATCAACACCCACTTTGTCAAAGTGAGATGGGTTGTTTACTTTGACCTAATGATTGTTTATATCATAACGACATAAGGACAGTGTCCCCAATGTCTATTCCACCGTTACATAGTTATGGGGGGGTACAATTCAAGAATAAATATACATGAGTTACTAAATTGAACATTAAACGAATTATTAGGACCTCGCATTTGCAACTATTAAACAATGGATTTCGAAAATACCTCTTTCGGGTGAATCGTGCAACCAATGTAACTAATGTCGCAGATGAAGTCCCTTCTGCAAAAATCTATCCACCCCTTTGAGAAGGTGGTACATGCCGTATACCCTTGACAAATAACTCCAGGAATCCTGTAAAATATACCCGCAAGTTAGGGAATTTCATTCACAAAACTACACAAGTTCCAAAAATGACGTCTTTGGGAAACACTGCGTTATGGTGGAACTGAATTATTAGGCCGGGATTCTTAAAACTGGTTCCTGTAATAAAACAGGAGGTAAGTTTTTACATTTGTCGTATGCGTTTATTGAACCAAAATACTCAAAAAAATGTTGGGAAAATCACCACAATGTGTAACATGTAGCCGAACAGCTGACAACCTACATGTATGCTAATTCTTGTCAATTGTACATGCCGTCCCCTTCAATATTTCATTACATCATCATTTACATTCACATTTTTGAGGCAAAGGAGAAATAATAACAAGCACAAAATGCCATTCAAAACATGAATTATGAAAGACAGTTTATATGGAGGTATTTCTTGTTTTGTTCTGGACTTGAATGTTTTCCCATTTGTCCACAAATGCACGATGGCATAACGCATTTTTGTGTTCCACGCAGTCCCTGGGATATTACTGTTCGTCGGTATTTGCTCGGGCCTTTTACAAATGACATGGCCGTGTTTTTGGGTGAATGAGCTCGTTTCATTTTATTTCTGTATTTCATAAAACATTTTAACAATATGAGCCATGAAAAATTATAACATTCTTTAAATGTAAGAAATATTGGTGAGGGATACACTGACGTAACAATACTTTTTGAGAATATGTCATCCCTATTACGTCAGGACTCGGTTCATGTAAATGGCACTAGGTCATTTTTGTTTACTTGGTTCGTGATTGAAAACAAGCACATGTATATTAAAATGCTCTTTACTTAAAGTATTCATCCTTTTTTTTTTCTTTTTGTTGTTGAGATAACAGTCACCATTATGCACCGTGGTCACTGATGCAACATATGTTAATGTCCCCTTTGTTATGTCAAAACACATGCTTGTGTATAATGTGCATTTTCTACAGTACAAACTGTTGGGCCTAATCATGTACAAATCAACCTGTGGTGATGTGCCTTGCCTCTATCGTGTAATGCAATGGCTTATGTAGGCCTATGTACATTTATTCATAATGATTGGAACCTAATATACCGGTAGGCCTAATCCTCGTGAATTTTGTTATTGAATTAAATTCTATGTATGTGCAATGACTGAAACAATTGAAAGTTACTTTTGTACTTCCTGTTGTGTAAGGCCATGTAAAAAAACTGCTTTCTTGTTTCAAATGGGGGATGCAAGTTCCCTCCCCCATAAAAAGTTTCTGTGAAACTGTTTGCTCGTGTG